ACTCAATGCACATTCTCATGCTCCCATCTTTCTTCTTTACGAATAACACGGGAGCTCCCCAGGGTGATGAACTAGGTCTAATGAAACCTTTGTCAAATAAATCCTGAAGTTGCATCATCAGCTCCTTCATCTCCGTTGGTGCTAATCGGTACAGTGCTTTTGTTATCGGCGTGGTTCCTGGTAACAAGTCTATTCTGAACTCCACTTGTCTGTCAGGTGGTAATCCAGGAAGATCTTCGGGAAATACTTCCGGATAATTACACACCACTGGAATACTCTGCATCACCTTCTTTTCCTTCTTCGCATTGATCACGAATGCTAAATATGATGTACATCCCTTGGTCAAACACTTTCTGGCTTTCATTAGAGAAATGATTCCAGAATTTACTTGACGTTTGTCCCTGTACACCATAAATGACTCTTTCCCTGGCGGGTTTACTTTTACTATCTTCTTCTTGCATAAAATTTCGGCATCACTGACGCTAAGCCAATCCATTCCCAACACGATGTCGAAACTGTTAAGTTTGATAGGCAATAATTCCTCGTGAAACTTATTCCCATTCAAGTCGATTAAGATGTTTTTCTTGCAATGGCTAACAGGTACAAACTTGCCACTAGCAACTTCAACTATTAACGCATTATCTAGTCTATCAACAAGCAAAGTAGTTTTCTACCAAAGTCATGTGAAATAAAGGAGTAGTTGGCTCCAAAATCAAAAAAAAATTGAGCAGGTAATTCATTTACGAGAAAGGTACCTGAAGCGACATCAGCTTCATCCTTCGCAGCCTCAAGTGTCATCTGAAAGGCTCTCGCCTTCGACTTTGGTGGAATGTTGGGCTTAGTTGCCTCCTTCTTCTTAGGACAGTCTTTCAAAATGTGCCCTTCCTCCTTACAACGAAAGCACATCCTCTTGTTGGACGGACACTCGTTGGCACAATGACCCATTTTTCCAAACTTGTAGCAAGTCTCCTCCTCACTACATTTCCCAAAGTGCTTTTTCTTGCACTTCTCGCACCATTTCGCTTCACCTCCTTTTCCTCCAAACTTCTTCGAAGTAGACTTCGAAAATTTACTTTTCTTACTGGAACCTGAAGTTCCTTCAAAATTTCTCTTCTCACCAACTTCAACCTTGTCGGCAGTCCTCCCCTTAATCATGTCCTCAACAGACTTGGCAGTCCAAATAGTTGCCTCTAGAGTAGGTGCCTGACGCATTGGCACCGCGTACTCCCATGAGAGTCTTTTTGTGTATCGGTCAACCTTTGTCAGCTCATCTGGAATGATGTGCAAAGCAAACTCCATCTATTCTGTGAAAGAATTTGTGTATTCATCAACTGACATGCTGCCTTTCGTCAATGTTAGAAACTTGTTCTCCAACTCCAACAGATTTTGAGCCGAGCAGAACTTGCGCTTGAACTGCGCCAAGAACTCTGCCCATGACAATTGCAGTGGATCATTAGGGCTTAAAGTCTTCCCTGAAGTGTTCCACCAACGAACGCCTCCACCTCGGAACTGACGCACTGCAAAGGTAGTCTGCAACTTGCCTCTGTAGCCACAAGTCATGAAGGCTAACTCCATTTCGGAGATCCAATCCATCACTCCGATCGGGTCCTCCATTCCAGTGAAGGTTGATGGTTTGCAAGTCAGAAAATCCTTGTACTTGCATCCCATTCCATCATTCCTTCTATCTTGGTTGTTCTGCCTAACTATCAGTGGGTTGGCATGACCAACAGATCCACTGAAGTTTCCACCTTCCGAGTGCCCTTCATTTAATTCAAGCTCTTCAACTTGAATTGACAGTTCTTCACGATTCTGTTGAATCAACCGCCTAGTCTCCTCCATTTGATGATCCAACATTGTTTGAATTATCATTTGTACACCAGTCATTGTTATTGGCTCCGGTGCTGCAGCTACCATAGGTATTTGTTCAATCACTGGTGGTTGATTCCGGTTTTCATTAGCATTTCCAACTCCAATTCTTGTTCTCACCATTTTTTTATCTATACATCGAAGGTGAAATTAGATCCTCATTCACGATAGATATTCAAATCATCTTTATCACTCCGAAATGTTTACACGCTAGGTCTAATATCGTAGACGTACACTTAGAATTCTACACACATAAGGTTTCCAGATCCAGTCGGCAACGGACCATAGATCCAAACAAATAATATCATATATGGAAAACATATAACATTTAGCACATAAAAGAATTTTAGGCAATTTTCCTAAAATAAACTAGTGTTCGTGTCTAAAATATAACAGACACACATCTCACAATTTAACTTAGCATTCTAAGTTTAAGTCTAGAAATCCTACAAATTCCTAGTTCGCTTAAACTAATGCTCTGATACCAACTGTGACATCCCAAAATCACGGCCAGAAAAGACCGGTTTAATTTATGCTTTTAAAATAATTTTATGGTAATCCTTTGATTAAAACAGTTGCAGAATTTATTCCCAAAACAAATATGATAAAAATAAGATTTACCAAAGCATTTCTTCAATAAATGTATTTTTCATTATATTACAATACGTGGGATGTCATTTTCCGATAAACATGTCAAAAGCATAAACATTTCAATATAGACCTTACAACAGTTATTTACAACAATAGGTCTATAATCCAAAATATCCTGACAAATCATCCAACTTATGCTCTGGCGCCACTAACTGTAATACAAAGAAACTGAGTGGGTCAGGCTTAGGAGTCTGGCGAGCATATAGGGTTTTCAACCCACAATAAATAATTAAATTAATTTTCATCAAACAATAACCCAATTACTCATTCCCGTTATTCTCACTTTACGTCCCTAAAACAAATAACACAAGGAACCTAGTCTAAGAATATTTCACCGGGGCAACAACACATGCATTCCCAGCAATATATGTCAAATAAGGTAACCATGAGGGGGATGGAGTACGGCGAATCAACACCCAAGTTCATTAACACCTACAGGTAGTGAACCTGCTAGCATTCCACAGGACTGTCTGGAAAAGTCTGTGGTCGTCATCTAAACTCCGTTAGATGACTGAATCAAAAACAACATCGAGGCTTCTCATCTGTTTATCACACATCAACTATCTACCATGTTCTAGCCAACATATTAGTAGATAAAAATATATATATTTTTATACATAGTCTAAAACCTGTATAGCATTCTCATTCAATACATATTCCAAACAACAGATGAGACACATACACATAACACGTATTTCATAGAGAATAAATCATATCTATGAGATAGAAGAAAGTGAATATACATTCACACATATAACAACAAAATATACACATAACACATATTTCGTATAAAATACTTCATAATTATGCGTTAGAAGAAAGTAACCACACACTCACTTGATCAGAAGATGATCGGACAGCACTACGACTTGTAGAAGTAGTATTCTTCGGCAGATCTGGAAGATCTTCACAAAAACCGGGCTCCTCACGGGAAGAGCTTCGGCTCGGGAATTTTACTTCTCGAGATCTTCGGGGCTTCAGGACTTGCTTCGGGTCTCGGGAATAATACTGGGGCTTCAGGATATTTCTTGCACGCAAAACGAGATAAAACGCGAGAGAAGGAAAGAAAATAGCAACTGAAACTCAGCAGCCTCGACTTCCTTTTATAGGGGGTTGGATCCTTGATTTACAATGGGCGTAAATCCTAGTTACGTTGGGCGTAACCTGGATAAGGTTGCTACCCCCCCCCCCTTTTGATAATATCGGAATTTATAATTAAATTTAATATTTTAATTATTTAATAAACTTCAAAAATTCATATATTCCTCATACGAACTCTGTTTTTGACGTTCTTTATATCCACACGTAGGTGAGACTACGCTCTAAAACTTACATTTAGACTTCGTCGCCTAATTTTGACTTCATTTCTATTATTTATTTTTAGTAGGCCGGGATAGGAAAACTCCGTTATAAATTCATAACTTCTTCATCTGACGTCCGTTTTCGCCTGTCTTTTTATCGTTTCACTACTATTAACGAGATCTTCGATTCTCGTTTAGATTGTTTCGGCTAAAAAGCGCTCGGTCTCAAATCGAGTATTCGGGTTGCGTACTGCTAAGTCGAAACTTTGGAAAATCATAACTTCCTCATACAAAGTCAGATTTGGACGTTCTTTTTATGCACGCTTGCGATTTAACGAACTCTACGACTTTCGTTTAGATCACTAAGGCTAAATATCGCTCTAACGTAAATTTCACTTTTTACGTCATTCAGCATCGTCGGTTCTGTCGCGAAACTTCGACGGGTCATAACTTCTTCGTTATAACTCGGATTTCGGCATTCTTTATATCTTCGGAATCCTTGTTTCAACGACTATGTCTTCATGCAAAGATATCAGGCTTACCTCATTCTTTAATTTTGACGCTTATTTTATTCTTAATTCATTAAATTATAGTAATTAAGAAAACAAACACGTAAATCACATAATACTCAAATATTTCATCATTAATACTTCAAAAAGAGTTACAAGGGTTAACCTAGACTATTACATCAACAATAATGTCTAACCTGGAAACGCGGGCGTTACATTTAGTGTTTGGAGTCTTGGACTCGTATTGTTAAGAAAACTCTATGGAAGGGACTGTTTTGAATGAATGGGTGAAGGTTTGGGGATTGGGATTGATTTCTTAGATAAATATGGCAATAGGGGGTTCTTTTGTAAATGTATCAAAGTTGAAAGAAAATTAGGGCTTATATGTAACGAAATATCATTGAGAGCTTATTCTGTTTAATGGCCAAACTTTAATTAATCTCGGACTTTTATGCCCCGTCGTCATCAGTTGCTTGATCAAAAGAAGAATCGTTAATGAAATCGACGACGATTTGAAAGGAACGCGATGGCAGACGAGGGAAACACAAAATCAGTTGAGGGGTCCGATGGTTGCCGGTTAATCGCAGGTGGAGGGAGAGATAGGCCGATCCCCAGCGACCTTGTGGTTTTAATCGTTGTCATTTGTTTGACCGGGTAAAGAAAAGGAACGAGAATGAACAAAGCGGACGAGAACGAACAATGGATGGGTCGAAAGGCAGCGCGAAGGTTCATCGCTCGACTCGCCATCGGTGATGGCCTCTGGCGTTTGACTAGACTGAAGAAGGAGGATAGAAGAAGCGAGGCGGCTTTGACCTCGGACGAGAAGGGAGAGACGAAGCAGCGGGACTGCTTGTCTTCTGTCTTGGAAGTAGTTACGAAGGGGAAAGAGGTCTGATGGGGGTCTGGGAGGCATCGCGAGCAGAAGCAGCGATGATGACGGGGTTGTCAGTGGGTTTGCTCGACAGGAGGGGAAGAGGGGTGCGAGGGTTCTGTGTGTCTTCTGCTTCGATCGGTATCAAGTTCTCTCTTTTTTTTAGATTTCTTTTTTTTTTTCGTCTTTTTTTTTTTTTTTTTTTGATAGAAATCATTGGGGTGTTTGGGTTTTCCTGGAAAATCGATGATAAAGAAGGGGATATGGGTTTGATTTTTGACAGAAATCCATGTGTGTTTGTTTTGGGTGTTTGAGCTTTGGTATTTTGACAGGGAAAATAAAGAAGATCAGTGTTCTTCTCTTTGTTGATGATGTTTGATCTTGGTTGGATACGAAGAAGCAGACAGAAAGAATAAATATGGAGTAGTTTGCGTGTTGATTATTTTTATCATTGTATTGAGAGTTCATTTTGACATTGTACAGGTTTTGAGTGTGGTTTTGTCTATTATTTGTGTATGGTGTACTCGTGTAGGATTGTCTGCGTTCCTTGTATGTAAACTTAGGCTAGTTATTATTATTAGACAAAATTGAAAAAATGGTCCTTGTGCTATACATTTTTTTGGGGTTCTAGTCCTAACCTCGACATTTTTGGATTGGTGGTCCTTTTGGATTGGTTTACATGCAATTTTGGTCCGTGTCCAAACTAAAAAGACTATTATACCCTTAATGAATTTACTTTTTATTTTTCTTTCACTTTTTAAAATTATTATTATTATTAAATATAAAAATAGGTCTCTCTCTCTCTCTCTCTCTCTCTCATCTTCTTCCTGATGATCCATCACCCAAAACACCCACTCTCATTGTAAAACCAGTGAAGAAGAAGGAAAGGATCCGTGATTCTTCGTCGGTAGTACCAGTCCCAACCTTCTCCGCCTATTTCCACCAAGTACCCCTTGTCAAACACCCCCGAAATTGTTGTTGTATTGTCCCAATACCGCGTCACAACCCTCTCAACGACTATCATCTCGTTCGTCTCCTTCCCCTATCAAAGAACTAGAATCACCGGTGATGTTTTCCCGGTTCCCCACTGCTGCCACCTCCATATCCCCTTCCCTTTATCCTTCTGCCGAGAAACACCACCACAAGCACCTTCTCCGACTGTTGCTACCCTTCACATGTAACAACCCAAATTTCACGTCAAAAAATTTCATTTTTAATTAATGGATTTGCAAAACGTTTGTAAGTAATAATGTGAAGTCATATCATCTCATAAACAATGTAGCATGTCTGAAAACCCAAATACTGAAAATAATATCATGTCAGAGTACAATCCCAGAATATCTCATAATGCAGAAGGTAACGAGAGTGTGTATGATGTGCAGCTACCGCGCCAGCTCCTTCCCTTTTGTTGAAGAAGTACCTGAAATCAAAACTGTAAACCGTAAGCACGAAGCTTAGTGAGCTCCCCCACCGTACCATATACCATATAATCACATAACATGCATATACTGTTAGGCATATCTGGGTGCCCGACCTACACCTGCGGTTCTCTCGAGCGGATACTGCCTAGCATATCTGGGTGCTAGCCTCCCCTTCAATCCTCTCGACCGGATAATACCTAACATATCTGGGTGTTGGCCTCCCCTTCGGTCCTCTCGACCGGATACTGCCTAGCATATCTGGGTGCTGGCCTCCCCTTCGGTCCTCTCAACCGGATAATGGGGATTATTTCACCCCTCTACTACTACCACATAACATGTAACACATAATCGTATTCTACCTAGCATGACTAGGTATGACTACCCCCTTTGGCCCTATCGAACGAAAATCTTGGGTACTGCTACTAGCATATAACATCATATCATACTAGCACATAACATATCAGGTAGTAGCAAACCTAGATGAATATCACAAAGACAATCATCTAACATACGACTCCTACCGGTGGGCCAGCATTGGTGCCTTAGACCCACCGCTACAGGAAGGTAACTCACCTCGTAAGGCAGACTGCAAAAGAGCTGATCGGTATATGTCTGACTACTGCTCCAATGATCCTCCGGCTATAAATCCCTAAAACACTTAATCAGACACTAATAATTACTCTTAGGGTAAAATGACTATTTTACCCCCGACCAAGTCAAGGTTAAAGTCAAAGTCAACTTTTAGTTGACCTGACTCGCCGAGTTGGGCCTCCAACTTGACGATTCCCTACTCTTCATTTGTCCTTCTTCACGCTTCTACTCGTCGAGTTTAGCAATGGCTCGACGGGTCCTCCTTTCAAAACAACCTCAAATGGACCTTCATCTGACTCGCCGAGTTGCATGAACAACTCATCGAGTTCATCCTCGTCCTACGAACAAGTCATGTCCTTGACTCGCCGAGTTGTATGAACAACTCATCGAGTTCATCTTCAAAAGTTGGGAGATTGCCTTGGACTCGCCGAGTCTGCTCATGCACTCGTCGAGTCCTATGAACTCCAGGTCTATGGCTAAGTCCAATGCGTTTGGTCATTCCCTCGGACCCCTCTAAGACCATTCTAACACTCACTGGGTTCCTTTGAACCCTAACAGAAAAGGGGAGTCAGACCTCAAACTCGTTGAGTCCCAAGAACAACTCGTCGATTCGAGGTTGTTCAAGTCTCATTTCATGATTTCTAATGTACAACACTTGTCCAAAACATAGATCTAGGCTCCTAAGATCGATCTAGCACGTAAAGTTACAAACTTTACGTGTATGCATAGGAGAATAAGCTCAAATGGCTCTAAAAGAAGCTCTTAAAATGCATGGGGCTTTCTAAGGCCCCAAAGTTAGCCACTTTATGTCTTGTAGTCCCCTAAGGACCTTGGATCTGGAGTCTTAGCCTCAACCATGCTTGCACTCATAGTTGGTCACCAAAAATGGCTCCATAAATCCCTAAGTCACTCCAAAAAGGGATCTAGAACATGAATGAGCAAGGTATAAACTTTATACCTCCAAAGAGCTGTAGACACAACACAAACTCAGGATCTTCTGATTTCCTTTTGGCTCTTCAAGCTTTTCCTTCCTTCTTGTGATCACAAACCACCAAAATCCACCAAAGAGGCCTTAGATCTTCACCAAAGATGATTAGGGTTTAATGTGAGGTGTTCTGAGAGCATAGGGGACGAGGTGTTGGATTAATGTCTAAGTCCATAACTATAATTGGTAAGACTTGACCCGACCCGGCATGGTCCATTTGGGTTGCATACCATCATGCACTTGGATAGACTATAATGAGAGAAATAAGACACTTATGGTTATTAATATATTATAAGTTCTAGTATATTAATAATAAGAATAATAAGATTATTTAATTAGTATTGATCAAGAATTAATCTAGGATTAATTAAGTGATCAAAAGAAGACTAATTAAATATATGGGTTGATTGTGTAAATCATCCATACTTATATAGTGGGCTAATGCTCCATGGATAATCAAGTTGGGCTAAAACCCATAGGATGGTCCATGGATGCTCCATGGTGTATTTGAACCCATGGATCCAAGGAAATGGAAAGCCATGACAATTAAGGATTTACCCTAATTGTAACACTATATAAAGATATTATTCTTGACAAAATCGGCCACTAGAATCACACTAGAAAGTGAAGAAGAGGGCTAGCCGATTTCATGAAGTGTAGAACTCTCTCAAGTTATTCTAAGTGTTTTGATGATTGTGATTCCATTTGAGGCTTCCACACTATTGGGGCTAGGCACTCAAGCTTCATGAAGACTTTCTACATCAAAGAGGTATGTATTCTATCTTGTTACACTCCTTGTTTTGTATGCTAGATTAGGATAATACCTTGGATGTTCTTATTTGCATGTATAATAGAGAAAACATAGATCCAAGGTATTTAGGGTTGCATGTACACTTAGGAGTGTTAGAATGCTCAAAACCCAACAGTGGTATCAAAGCCTAGGCTTGTTTTCTTGTTATACCTGCAATAGAAGCTGAAAAAACGAATTTGTTGTTGTCTGATCATCAGACTCGGTGAGTCCATTAGGAGACTCGGCGAGTCCATGCCTAAAATATGATCAATTCGATCCAACTCGCTGAGTTGGTTCATGCACTCGACGAGTTGGACCCCCAGACAGCATATTTTCGAGGTTTTTGTCTAGAAATGGACTAGGAACATTACCCTAAGTTGTTTTTGAACTTATAAACTTGTTTTTAATGTGGTAATGTTCATGCTAATCCATTTTCAAAGATAATTGTCAATAGATTCATGTTTTGTATTAGTTTAAGGTCTAGACTAATTACATGAAAAAGTTTGATTTGAATTATCTTGTTCTTATGAGTTGCTTAGATTAATAGAAAATTTAATTGAAATAGTTGCTTTCAATCCATTTTAATCTAAGAGTTGAGTATAAAATGTGTTTGTGTAACTTGTCCTCAAGTTACATGAAAAGTCACATTAAAGACTCATAAAACTCATAAAAGTTGGTAATGGTTACAAAATGAAGAGTCTTGTGTCATTGAATATTTTTTTTATGACTCCATAACTTGTCCTCAAGTTATGGAAGTTCAAGAGTCACTTCATTAAAGAGTAAAATTGTAACCTTAATTAATTCCATAAGTTATAAAAATAAAGAAAAGTTAATTCTTTTATTAGTTTAAAGTCTTCCATAAGTTATGGAACTTGAAGAGTTTTTGGATTAAAACTACTTTAAACACATAAGTTATGGAATTAATTAGTTTTTTGAATAGTTTCAAAACTTGCCCTCAAGTTTTGGAATTTGAAAAGTTTTCTCTTATGAAGACTTTAATTCCAAGTTAGCCCTTAAAATTTTAAAGAGTTAAAATTCAACACTTATACTATTTATAACATTAATGGTTAATTATTATATATATGTATAAGAACAAGTCGTTTTACCGTTAGTAGGCCTCATTCACGAAACCGGTCTATAAGGTGGGTATAAGGTTGTTGCCTATAAAATGGCGACTTAATGGGTGTATACTCTCACCCACCGTTTGCTTGACTGGTGGAGGGTCGTTAGCCGAACAGGTAGGACAATGACTTTAAATTCTCATTAAAAGTATAATGATTATTATAAAGTAACTAAATATTTTATTTAATCCCCAATCTTAGTTACTTTAGGAAAAATGTGAATTTGGTGCTAGCCCATGGAATTCACACTTTGTACCTTACCAAGTCGTTGGTGGAGCGTGTATGGTTAACCGGCACACTAACTTGGACTAGTAAGGACCACGAAGGGTGACTTAATGTTTGTCATAGATCAATGGAGCGTGTGTGGTTAACCGGCACATTGATTAGGTGATAATATTAAGGGTACCAAGTGAATTGGTATGGTTATTCACACCTTGTTTTGTGATCCTCGGCATCCCAGTCATAAAATTTGAGAGGGCACACTCGAGATTGAAACATGCCATTGAAAAGTTCAATGAATCTCAAAAGATCTAGGAATTTCAAATCCAATTAAAACCTAATAAATTATTTCGTTTTTATGGTGGAAATTGGTGAATCGTCATTCGCCTACCTTCAAATATTTTATAGCTTGGATTACGGCATCCCTCTTCCAAATTATAAAATATTGTGTTGGGTCCTAGCCTTAATATTTCTTATTGGGTGTTATATTAAGGATTTTGAATCAACTAACTTGATTTTCTCCCATTATAGATGTCTGGTTCAGACAACTATGATCTTCCCAAATCTCTTGAAGATGGTGTCCCTCAACACCATGCTTCACTTCCTCCACCTCCTCCATTTATTCTCCCAAACCCACAAGTTTAAAGTCACTCAATCCCTATTGGCAAGCATAGTCTATGTGTGCTCACATCTTGGAGATAAAGTCACATATTGACAAGCCGGGAGAGTTGGGTGTCAAAGTCTCGTGAAAGTTGGATGTTCAATCGCTTTCTTAGTAACATAGTGAGTCTCCTTGGGACTACCATGAGACAGACTATGACATGACCCTTAATGATCTTATCTATTTGCTTGGTGTTGTGGAATCAGCAATGATTAGGTGCACCAGTAAAGCAAATTTGATTAAAAGAACAACTTCCCAAGTCTTAAATGGACATTGACAATGGTAGCATTGGATATTGAGAAAAGCATTTCTCTTCCCAATGGAAAGGGATCGGCCATAGTCAACTCGATTCACCAAATGGTAAAGAGAAAGGCTAAGTCTAAGATAGTCTCA